TTGCTTTTTTTGAAATACTTTTTGCTATTTCTAATTGAGATCTTTATTCTACAGCCACAATACCAAGACAACCACCTGGTTGGATCCCCGTCTTTGTAAGAAAGCCAAAGCCCCTGAAGACTGTGAAGATGGAGGTAGAGATTCAAAACTTTTCTGTGCTATGCTTATTCTCTTAATCCCTTCTTACTTTTCTTGCTTACATAATGTGTTTGTTCAAAACCCCAAACAAACCATAACGTGCATAAGCACATAAACAGTTGGTGGATATCAGAATCAACTAACTATGATAATTATGTCTTTGCATCTACTTTATAAGAGAGATTTCATTTCTCTCCTTCTGGGTATTATATAATTAAGTTCTTTTTTTAAAAAAACCATCTTAGTAAAAATAAATTTGCCCATTCTTTGACATATGTTCTAAACATAAACTTTTAAAATTCCAAATGTTTTAATAAATGAGGTAATCATGGGGTAGCCTTATGCCTGTTGAACCTTTAAAATATATATTTAATTTAGTACACACTAGGATAGAGATGCTAGTATCTATAGCTAATTTTTGCTGCTTAGTGGAAAAAGTTATCCTCTAGGGATCATCAGATAATAATACTTGTCTGTCTTGTATATTAGAGGTTCTATTTTATTATAATCTTGCAAATAAGTATCGAATTTACCCCACCTAAAACTGTTTGCTATGCCTTCCTTAACGTAGGCACAGATGAATAAAAACTTACATTTGTTTTTTATCACTCATCAAAAATTATTTACTTTGGTTAAAAAAAAAAAAGTGGCTTAGCATGAAGTTCAAAATAGTCATTCTTGTATTGAGTTGCAATCTATTTTTAAAAATTGTTAAGCAGGATTTACATGTTATTTGTTCAGCATGATTACAATATTAAGAATTTTTTTTAGCAACAATTAGAAAATAGAATTTTTTTAAATTCCATTTACCATGGCTTAAAAAATCACATATTTTGGAATGAATCTATTGGAAGATGTACACTAAAAGCTACAAACATCACTGAAAGAAATTAATAGTGACCTAAAATACTGGAAGAGATATGCTGTGTTCACAGATTGGATGACTCAATATTGTTAATGATGCCCATTCTCCCTAAATTGATATCTAGAGTCAACACAATCCCAATCAAAATCTTAACTGGCTGTTTTGAAGAAATTGACAAGCTGATTCTTAAATATATATGAAAATACAAAGACTCTAGTTAACCAAACAGTCTTTAAAAAGGACAAAGTTCCAAGTCAATTCAGTGAAGAAACAAATGGTACTGGAGCAACTGAATGTTTGTATGGAAAAATGAGCTTCAATTATATCTCACTCTACACAAAAAATTATTTGAAATAGATGAAAGACCTGAGCATAAAAGCTTTTAGAAGAAAACATAGGACAATATCTTCATAACTTTGGGATTGGCAAAGATTTCTTATACAGGCTACAAAAGGTATGAACCATAAGAACAGTATACGAAGAAAGGTGAATTAGATATAATAAAAATGTTAAATTTCTGCTAATCAAAAGACACCATTAAGAAAATGAAGACAAAACTACAGACTGGGAAAATGCTTGCAGTATATATCTGACAAAGGACTTGTATCCAGAATCTTTAAAGAACTGTTACAACTCAATAATAAAAAGATAAACAGCCCAATTAAAATATGAGCAAAATATTTAAATAGACATTTCACCAAAGAAGATATACAGATGGCCGGTGAGCACATGAAAGTTGCTCAACATCATTAATTGTTAACCAAAAAAAAAAAAACCAAACCCGTTACCACTGAGTCGATTCCAACTCATGGCGACCTTATAAGGAAATCTAAATTAAAACCACAATGATATACCACTTCACACCTATTAGAATGACTGTAATAATGTAAGACAGACAAAAATAATAATCGTTGTAAGGATGGAGAGAAATGTAACCCTTATATGTTGCTTATGTGAGTGTAAGATGGTATAGCTATTTTGGAAAACATTTTGACAGTTTCTTAAAAAGTTAAATATAAATGTACCATATGACCCAGCAATACCCTATTCCTAGGCATCTACCTAAGAGGAATTAAATCATATGTCCACACAAAGACTGGTATGCATATATTTATAACAGCACTGTTCATAATAGCCAGTAAGGGGAAACAACCGAAATGTTCATCAGCTGTTGAACAGATAAATAAAATGTGGTCTAACCATAAATGGAATAGTATTCATCAGTAAAAAGGAATGAAATGCTGATACATGTTATAACACTAATAAACGGCAAAAGCATTATGCTAAGTGAAAAAAAGAAGGTCAGATATTATATGATTCGATTTATATGAAATGTCAGAATAGGCAAATCCCTAGAGACAGAAAGGAGATTAGTGATTGCCTGGGGCTGGGGGTAGGAACAGAGATTCACTGTAAACAGCATGAGGGATCTTATTGGGGTGGTAGAAATGTTCTAAAACGGGATTGTTGTGATAGTTACACAACCTACTAAATTACTACAAGTCATTGAATTGTACACTTAAAACAGATGAATTTTATGGCAAGTAAATTATACCTTAATAAAGTTGTTTTAAAAAAATAGCCAAAGGATTTGAACAGACGCTTCACAAAAGAAGATAAAAGAATAGCCTTATAAGAACATGAAAAGGTGGTTATTATCATTAGTCATCAGGGAAATATCTCACATCAGGGAAATGCCATTCCATTCATTAACAACAACAAAAAAAAACCAAGCTTGTTGCCGTAGAGTTGATTTTGACTCATGGTGACCCCATGTGTTACAGAGTAGAACTGAGCACCATAGGGTTTTCTTGACTGTGATCTTTATGGAAGCAGATTGCCCGGCCTTCCTTCCATGGTGCTGCTGGGTAGGTTCGAACCATCAACCTTTTAGTTAATAGCCAAGCACAAACAGTTTGCACCACCTAAGGACCTCTCACATCCACTTGTTGTGTGCTGTTGAGTCGATTCTGACTTACGGCAACCCTATAGAACAGAGTAGAACTACCCCATGCAGTTTTCTAGGTTGTAATCTTTACAGAAGCAGATCACCAGGTCTTTTATCCTGTGGAGCAGCTGGTGGGTTCGAACAGCTGGCCTTTTAGTGAACAGCCGAACACTTAACCATTGTGCCACCAGGACTTCTTTCACATCCACTAACAAAACCAAAACCCAAACCTGTTGCCGCAAGTCGATTCTGACTCATAGTGACCCTATAGGACGGTGTAGAACTGCCCCATAGGGTTTCCAAGGAGCGGCCGGTGGATTCAGACTGCTGACCTTTTGGTTAGCATCAAGATATTACAATTAACGTTTTGCTGTATTTGTTTTTCACAAAGCTCTCTAACCATCTATCGTCTATCTATCCATGCTTTTTCTTTTATATTATGTTTTCCTCTCCAGTCCTCTGATTACCACATACTTAGATTTTGCTTAGTTTTTCTTCTTGCATTTACTCCTTCCCACCTCCCTGCTCTGTCCGCCCCTCCGCCCCCGCCTCATATATCCTTTGTGCTGGTGGTCTCCAAAATGATAGTTATCTATTGATAGAAAATATTAGGAAGAAAATATTAGAACTTATTTTTCATAATATTACTATTAAAAAGAAATAAATTAAGCTTCACTACTATTTAATACATATATTGACACTATCATTCTTACTCATTCTATATGGCAGATTATCACATACACTATCCAGAATTTTTTGAAGGAAGAATAGATATGACACCCTTACTTTTCTGTCAAGTGCCCTGTGAAGTTTTGTAGTTTACTTGTAGTTTACAAGTGGATTTATAGATTATGTTGTATAGTTTTTAAACTAATCCACACAAATGGAAATACGGCTTAAAAAGATTTCTGAAAAGGTATTACAGATTAAAGATAATACACATATGCAAGCACAAACAGTAGGGAAATATCAGAGTGGACACTTTTCATATACCCTATAGGAGCTTTTTAACCACATTGAGGTAAAACAGTGATAATTGTTTATTTAATAGTCTTAATCTCTTTATTTTTGTGGATTTTCTATTGCCTGCATATTAGTAGAGTAGTACATATATTTGTAAATAAGTATATATTTATATGTATCTTGGGGGTACATGTTCAAATGTTTTACTGATTAAGCTACATGACCAAAAAGCATTGCAGACACTAAATTAATCTTTCTAAAATAGAACTTCTTTCATAACTCTCCCTTGCTCAGATACCTATAATCGCTCCCCACTGTCAGCAGAATAAAGTCTAGACTCCTTGGTGAAATACTGAAGATACTGTACAATTGAAGCATACTCTGTATTTCTTTTTCAAAGTATTTTCATTTCTCTATATCTAACATATTTCCTCATCCCTTTGCCTTTGCCGTGTGTCCATTTCTTCTGCCTGGAACCAGTTTCACTCCCTGTGTCCACCTGGTTTATATCTACTTCTCCATCTAAACTCAAATCTAAAGTATGATTTCTTTGTAGCCTCTGCTGTCATTCTTTTCCAGGTCTGAATTAGGTGTTTGTCATGGATTGAACTATGTCCCCCAAAAAATATGTGCATCAGTTTGGCTGGGCCATGATTCCTGGTATTATGTGATTTTCCTATATGTTGTAAATCCTGCCTCTATGATGTTAATGAAGGAGGATGGGTGGCAGTTGTGTTAGTAAAGCAGAACTCAATCTACAAGATTGAATTGTGTCCTGAGGCAATTTCTTGAGATATAGAAGAGAGAAGCAAGCAGAGAGACAGGGGGACCTCATACCACCAAGAAAGCAGTGCCAGTAGCAGAGCATGTCCTTTGGACCTGGGGTCCCTGCGCAGAGAAGCTCCTAGTCTGGGGGAACATTGATGAGAAGGCTGACAGGAGAAAAAGCCTTCCTCTGGAGCTGGCACTTTGGATTTGGACTTTTAGCCTACTTTACTGTGAAGAAATAGATTTCTCTTTGTTAAAGCCATCCACTTGTGGTATTTCTGTTATAGCAGCACCAGATGACTAAGACTGTTCTCGCCTCTGTGCTCCATATACCTTATTGCATATCTTTGTTGTTGTTAGTTGCCATCGAGTCCGTTTTGACTCATGGCAACACAATGTGTTACAGAGTAGAACTGCTCCATAAGGTTTTCAAAGCTGTGACCTTTCAGGAG